CCCTCGGGCCGGTAACGGCCACGATGGAGCTAAGACCCCCCCCAAGTTCTATGTCAATCCCATAAGGCACGAGTTACCAGACATGCATGTAGTTAGGTCTAAGCCCTCCTCCTCACCTTCACTGGGGTTGGTGCCTCGCTTGGTGGGAACATTTCAGGACAGACTTTACTACCTAAGAAACCAAAACAGAAGGAACACTTTTCATATATGGCGGGCAAAGCAACTACTGAAAATATTTTCTCTTGGGGCCAGAGAGACTGTACAGCAGTTCCCCTGCCTTGTATGTGGCTGACCTGAGTTCAACCCTTGGCACCCCATATGGTCCCCTAAGCCCCATCAGGAGTGACACCTGAGCACAAAGGCAGGAGTGAGCCTTGGACACAGCCAGTGGTGGCCAAAATATGCTAAGCAATAATAACAACAACCCAAAACTATAATTCACTCTAGAAATTTTTAGCAACAACAAAACATTCTTAAACCTCCAAAATTGTTTTCCTCTTCATTAATTGCCAATGTCTAATCTCTCTCTCTCTCTCTCTCTCACACACACACACACACACACACACACAGCTTCTGGAAAGACTGGCAGATCCTGCCACCCTGCCACCAGGGCCACATTCCTGCCACCATGCCACAGCAGGGCAAAGCAGCTGCCACATCAGATGAACACATTCTCTGGGCCTTTCAGAATCGCAATGAGGGCCAAGTTGATAGTACAGCGGGCAGGGTTCAATCCCCAGCACTTCCCATATGGCCCCCTGAGCATCATCAGGAGTAACCCGAGTGCAGAGCCAAGAGAAAACTCTAAGCAGGTGTGTCAGCCCCACATAAAAAGGGGAAAACGTTAGAAACAACAGACCATTTTCTATAAAACTGAGAGTCACCAAAACTGATCCCAGAGAGAAAGTTTAAGAACTGTAACAAGTCCCAACAAGTTCCACCCTGAGGAAGTGCCTGGAGGGGGTGGTGGTGGTGGGGGGGGCCCTACTGCATCTCTCTACTCTCAGGTACCACGGGCCCCATCCAGACCCTCCCAGCTACCTAGCCACCACCTTCTACCTCTGAAGTTCCAAGATGCAAACAGTAGACCAAGGATTTTGGAGCCTCTTCTCTGCATTCTCTGCAGTTTACAAAAGAGGTAAGATCCCTAGTAGTAACACCCCTTCTGCCCCTCATACACCCAACACACACACACACACACACACACACACACACACACACACAAAGTCTATCAATGTCTGGGAGTAAGTGCAAGTGTGCCAGGTTTAGACAGTTTTACAGAGAACTCTATGAAAACGTAAAGGAACAGATCATTTCAAAAGTGAACTGGCTAAAGCAGAGAAAGCATTTAAAGAACCTATAGAGGGGCCAGAGTGACAGTACAGTGGGGAGGAATTTGCATTGCATATGGCCTACCAGGTTTCGTCCCCAGTATCCCATATGGTCCCCCAGCATGGCAAGGAGTAATTCTGGAGAAGAGAGCCAGCAATAACCAGGTATGTCCCCAGAACAAAAACAAACAATGTGCCCCCCCAAATTAATAGTGATCGCTCAATAATAATGCTAACTTAATAATAAAAAATGATTCAGTAATAAAATCTACAACTGTAACTTCACATATTAAAAGAGAATCCATATATGATCACTTCATAGATGCTAAAACAGAATTTGATAAGACTTAGCAACCATTTTTTTATTTAAAAAACAAAAAGCAACACACGTCTTAGTAAAACAGTACATCAAAAACACTGAAAGTGTTATTTTTAAGATTAGGTATAAAAAAAACAGAGCCGGTGACGTCCCTATGTTTAACCTTGCTCTGGAAACAGAAGACAACCAACAAAGAAAGAACATACATAAAATGTAGATGACAAGGGGAAAATTCTTAAAATTTTTAATTGATATGACAGTATGCTCAGAAAATTCAAGAGAACTAGTGGCAAGATATACTAGAAACAAGACTGTGTAAGTTACTAGTTTCAAAATTAGCAAAAATATGTACTATAAGAAAAATCCTATTTTCAACAGTAGAAAAATTTAAAAACTAGATATAAAATTAAGAAATGAAATGAACAAGATTTGAGGTGCTGCAGAGATGCTCAGAGGGCAGGAGCCTTCCATAAGGAGACCTGGCTGGACGTCCAGCACTGCACGGGACCCCAGCAACAAGCACTGCTGGGTGTCCCTCAAAACTTAAAGAGAAGAAAAGAAAATGGAAGAAAAAAAAAAGAACCCCAACTACCTTAAAGACATTTCTGAGGCAACTGGGGAAATGTTACTGTTACAGGATATTAGATAAGATTAAGTTACTTACAGGTAAGTAACTGAATTGTTTATTTGTTTATTTCGGCAAGTGACACAACAAAGTTGGTATATACATATGTTTATATATATATTTCTAAAAGCTCTTATTTGTTCAAGGTATACTGTGATGTATCTATGGGCAAAATCATTTTTTTATTTTCCACTTTTAATTTTTATTTGGTTTTCAATCATATCAAGTAGTGCTCAGGGCTTACTCCTGGTTCTGACTCAGGGTCACTCCTGGCAGTGCTGGGAGGAGCATGTGGGGTGCTGGGGAATGAACCTGAGTCAGCTGCACACAAGGCGGGGCCTTACCTACTGTATTATCTCTCTGGCTCATGAATGAAATAAATTACTTCAAGAATATTCTCCTCTCCACTTACAAAAAACAGAAGGATTGACAAAACAGAAAGAAATGGACACTTGAAGGTTCATCATTTTGTCCTCTCTATTTCTACCACATATTTGAAAATACAAAGAAAGCAAAAGAATGTGCAGAACTCAAGGTTATGAAATATAGAAATAATCCCAAGATACATAAAATACGCTTACACACAAATGCCATCACAAGGTCAGAGAGACAGTAAAGCAGTTAAAGTATCTGCCCTGCACACAGCTGACCCTGGTTCAAATCCCAGGCACCACATAGGGGCTCTTGAGCGCCCCCCACCCCCGGTGTGATCCTGGAGCACAGAATGAGGAGTAAGCCCCACGCACAACCAGAAGTGGTCCCAAAACAAATACACTACAAAAATGTCACCAACAAATTAAAAAATAAATACTAAAGCTGAAGAAAACCAAATGGCATCTCACCAGTTAACCAGAAACAAAGATGAAGATACCTGGCATTAGCGGACACTGGGGGGGTGCAGGTACAGGAGGAGCCATCAATGCCAGCTGGGCATTCTGCACCTCCCTGTGAAGTCCTCACCGCTGCTCAGCCAGCAATCCCAGGTTCAGGGATGTGTTCCAGTCAGTCCCTCAACTAGCCTTCTTGGCCACCTCCTATGGGTAAAGACACAACCACAAAGCAAGCTGGGCACCCAGACAATGACAAGATCAGACAGAACAGCTGTGATGAAGAAAACCATCACTGGAAGGGAACTGAGAACAGCACAAAAGACGGGCTGTGGGAAACCCAAAAAGCAGGGCAGAGGAGCACAGGCGGTGGAGAAGGAGGAACCAGGCAGAAGGCCATCTGGGGAAACATTCAGGCAAAAGGCCACGAGATACATCTGACCTTCCTCTACTGTTCCCTTTATTCGCCAGCGCCTCCTGTTTATCCAAAGTATATGAGCACCAATCAAACGTCTCTGCCTCCTGATATAAAAGTGGTAACTGCATTCTTCTAAAACTATGTATTTTTCAAGGACATGACAGGCCAACACTGTTTTCCTAAACATTATGCATGATTTGATTTTTGCTTTTGTTTTGGGGCTGCACCTGGCATCTGCACTCAGGAACCATTCCTGGTCCCACTCTGGGGACCATATGGGACACCAGAAATCGAGCCCCTGGTGGCAATGCGCAAGGCACGCACCCGACCCACTGCACCATCTCTCCAGCTCCACGGTTTTCCAAAAGAAGTATTTTGCAACCTATTATGTCAAGTCTGCTCACGAAAGTACATCAAAACTAATCATTAGTCTTTAATGCAAGTAAACCATTACACACACACACCACACACACACACACACACACACACACACACACACACACACATTAGTTTCGCAAAACTACTGGCTATGTTTCGCACACAGACAAAAATATCCCCAGTCTTGCCCAGGACAAGCAGGATCGAGAACTACTGACTCAGAGAAGCACGATTTCATTTCATGATCTCTTTAACCATAAAACTGAAAATTTGATAGATCTATATGGATAAATATCACTTATATCTTAATTTCTCCAAATATCAACAATTTTAAATCAAGATCATTTAGGCAATGGAATGGATTTTTTTTTAATAGCGCCCCAGCTCGAACTCCAGGTCTCCCGTGAAGTTAGTGCATTTGATGGGCCAGTTCCGCAGCTGACACCGGGTGGGCCAGAGTCAGTGGGGGACGGGGCCTCCGACTCTCCAACATCGTGAACCATCCCCGGACGGCCGCGCTGACACTCTACCCGCAGCGGCCCGCACGCCCAGGCGCCTGCCCCGCACACTCCCTCACAGCCCACCGCTCCCCCCCGCCCGCGCCCTGCCCCCGACTCAGTCCCGCAGTCCCCCGGCGCCCCGCACACTCCCGCAGCCCCTCCCCCGCGCCCTGCCCCGACTCGCTCCCGCAGCCCCCGCGCCCGGCGCCCCCAGGGATGCGGCAGGTGCGGGCGGCCTTGCCCGAGGCGGCGGACCGGGGCCGGGCTCGCTCTCCCGCCCACCAGCTCTCGGGGGTCGCGCGCGGTACCCGGGAGGGGGACGCCGAACGGATGCGGATGGGCCGGGCGGGCAGGTCCCGCGCAGGGAGCAGGGGGGCGGCCGGCCGGGCAGGTCTCGCGCAGGGAGCAGGGGGCGGTCGGGCGGGTCCCGCGCAGGGGAATTGGGGGCGGGCAGGGTCCCACGCAGGGGGCTTGGGGGCGGGCGGGAGGGTCCCGCGCAGGGAGCAGGGGAGCGTCCGGGCGGGCCCCGCGCAGGGAACGGGGAGCGGGCGGGTCCGTGCAGGGGGGCGGCGGGCGGGTCCCGCGGGGGCGGCCGCGCTCACCTGCCCAGCGCCCGCTTCATGCCCGCGTCCGCGCCGCGCGGCTCCGCAGGGCCCGCGCCCGGCAGCCGCAGGTGGCGCCCCAGGCGGCAGGCGGCGTCCAGCGCCGCGGCGGCCGGGCCGGAGGGCGAGCCCGAGGCGGCGCGGCGCTCATGCTCCAGGGCCACGGGCTCGGCCCGCTTCCTCATGCCGCGGCGCCGCCGGCCTCGGCCGCCCTCCCGCGTCGCGCTGCCCCAGGAGCCGCCGCCGCCGCCGCCTCTGCCACCGCCGCCGCCCTCACACCCGCGCCCGGGCAGCGGCGCCGGCTCAGGCCCCGCCCCACGTCGCGCCGGCCAATCGGCAGCGGCCTCCCGCCGGCCCCGCCCCCGGCCCGTCTCCCCGGAGCCGCGGGCGGCGAGTCCAGAGGCCTCCGCGCCCTCCCGCAGCCATGTCGGGGAAGGGCACTGAAGCCGCGCCTTGCGTCATCTTTTGGGCAAAGAGGACCTCCCGCGGCCGCTGTGCAGAGGTTGCAACGGGGCGGGGGAGGCGGGGGCGCCGCCTATGCCTGCGGGCTCAGCATCGCTGAGCACAGGCCCCAGAGAAGGGCAGGACGCTGGCCAAAACGGGGGAAGTCCTGCAGAGGGTCAAAACCCTGCTCTTATCCCAGCCCCGGCTCCTATGGAGCCTAGCCTAACTCTGGAAACCCAGTCTGGTTAAGCCCCGCCCCCACCCCTACCCCTCACCCCAAATGCGCTCATAAAGGCTTATTAGAAGAAAAATAAATAAGTTTAACACTAATTGTAACTAGTTCTCCATAACAACTTTTAAAAAGTCTATTTTCAGGCAGGTCTTTCTGGTAGCACGAATCATTTTTTACCTTAGGGTTGATTACATGAAAACATATGTAACCAACCTACTTTTAAAAAATATTGTATTAAATTTTAATAAAGCAATCAGTAGTAATTGGGGGAAAGGTTCAACGGCAGATTTTCCTTGTGAAACACAAACGAGCGATTCAGCCCATTCTCAAATGAGAGAAAAATTTCACAAATCCGGTTTTTCTTTTGGAGTCATACTTGGTGCAGTGCTGGAGATCTACCCTCAACTCCGTGCGCTAAGCACCATCTTCCTGACCTACAAACAATTCAGTTTTATATATTTGGCTTTCTTTATTATGGGATAGTTGTTTCTTTTTAAACAAATAATCTAAAACCAAGAGAATTAATTACTTATTCCTCAGCAACTTGTAATTTTAACATTTGTGACAGTGAAAACTGTCAACTGGGTAATTTAAGATTAGAAATGCCTTCAGCAATTCAATAGCTCCTTTTAGTAGCTTTGTAATGTATTCAAAATTGCAAACCAATTTTGCTGATGATATTTGGTCATATTTGTATAGATGTCTTCAAATACACTTGGGATTTAAATAGTGAATGCTTTAGAGTATAGTACCATATGCTGGCGACTGGGAATCCTGAGACTAAAGTATAATTTTTTTTTTATCATTAACACTCACAAAATCCTATTTAGTAGAAGCAAACAAACATACAAAGGAAGAGAGGTTTCTAGGGAAGAGGGAACTGTAACGGGCATTGAATCTTGCAGGCCTCAACTCACTTTCTTAGTGGTCTAACCTCAGCGTTAAATACCCACACTAGTGAAATCTGTATTTTTATTTCTAAGTCACATGAACTCCAAGCCTCACTATTGTCAACACATCTACTCTGATGTCCTCCAGACACTTAAACTTACTCTGCTCAGAAATGAGTTTCCAGCTCTTCTACCGCTTGACTCCATCCTTACCCTTTCCCATTTTAAAAATGACAACTTCACCCTGGGAGTACCTCAGACCAAAACTCTGGGCTCATTCCTAATTCCTGTTTTGCCACTCCAGATCTGTCACGGAGGCTCCGAGGCTCATTTCAAATCCTTCTTAGGATCTAGCCACTCAACCACATGTGGGCCAAATGGCCAGGATCTCTCACTTGGATTATTTTAATACAGGGTCTCCAACCTCAACTTAGCTCCCCATTCTGCCTTCTACATTCAGTGGCCAAAAAAATCCTTAAGAATCCTACATCTGGGGCAGAAGTGATAGTAGAGCAGGTTGGCCATTTGCCTTGAATGCAACCGACCCAGGTTCCATCCACAGCATCCCATATGGTCCCCTTAGCACCAGGAGTAATTCCTGTGTGCAGAGCTAGGAGTATCCCCTGAGTTTCTCCAGGTATGACCTTAAAAGCAAAAACAAACAAACAAACAAAACACTCCATCTAGGGGCTGGGAATTGCTCAAATGGTGGGCACATACCTAACAGTGATGTTCTGAGTTCAATCTCCAGCACAGAATTCCCCGCCCCCTGCCTGCCCCCTTCCCACCAAAGGCCCATCAGGTCCTTCTAGCCATCCAACGACACTGGAAATGGCCCAACACTCCTGTCCCAGAGGTATGTGGGTCCATAAATAACAGCTGAGGTTAATAACTATGGTTCACTCCTATCACTTATTTGCTCAAAATGCTTCAATACTCCCGTCTCAAAATAAAACTGAAAGCTTAGGGTGTGACCTCCAGTCTTCATCTCATGTCGGTCACCAGCCTCTCCCTTGCACATCCTTGCTTCAGTGCCAAAGCCTCTTCCCTACCTTAACGGCCTAGGGGAAGGGTGTCTTTGGCCTATTTCCACTGTCTGCATATCAGGAATCCTCTGTCCAGATTGTTCCTCCTTAGCTCCACGACATATTCCCTTCCTACTTTATATATCTGACTCTAAAAGGGTGTTTAGAGGCCTTACCATCTATGTACTTCAGCCCTCTCCACGATATATTTGTCATCTCTGTAAACTCTTTCCTACACTAAGTGCAAGGACTTTGTTCACTTCTTTATCTGCAGGGCCTCAAAAAAAGGCGTTCCGCTGTAGATATCTGCTAAAGAAATGACTGAATCATTGCAGCTCATCAGAAGTGAGTATTGCTTTCCATGTTGTATGGGGGAGGAAATGAGTGAAGGACTTTGCCTTCTACTCAGAAACTAAAGCGTTTTAAGGACAGAAGAAGGCTGTAGATACTACTAGGATTACAATTCCTGTAGCATGAAGTCCCCTACTGAATTGTGCGCTCAATAAAAACACTCAATTAAACCACCCCTTACTGGGGAACTAAAGAGGAGAAGCTTTTCAACAAAGCATGAGATTCAAAGGCTGTTCTTTAAGTCATTTCACAGAAGAGAGAGCTTCCACAGCAGAGAGGGTTCAAAGGGCTGTGTTGTATGCAAACTGTACATGAGGGAGGTTCAAACCCTGAACCACTTGGACCCCTGCTAGGAGCGGTCCCTGAACACCACTGAATTTGACACCAAAACCAACCCCCTAGTCCCACTCCCACTCCCACACCAACACAGTAAAGTCAATCTCATGCCCATTTCTCAGTCCCACACATTTACTGAATTCGTATTTGCAAAAAGGGAAGAGTTAGGATTTTTACCCTTCTTTCTTCTCATTGTTTATCACAACCAGAGGGGGTACACACTTGATTATGATGCTCCCCAGAGCTTCGTTGGGGCACTGAGATCAACACTGGTCTTATACACAGGGCCCTGCTTGCTGGGGTTTGGGGCTAGCCTTCCCCAGTTCTAGGGACATAGTCTCTAAGGTTAGAATGAACCCAGCACACATACTCTACACGCATACCTACAAACTCAGGATCAGTAGGCCACGAATCAAATTCAGGGCCTTGGATATGCACGTATGTGTTCCACTCCACCAGTTGAGCTACTCCAACTAATCTTTTTTCTTTTTTTTTTTTTGGTTTTGGGGCCACTCCCGTCAATGCTCAAGGTTATTCCTGGCTCTGCACTTAGGAATCACTTATGGTTCTCAGGGGACCACATGGGAAGCTGGGATTTGAACCCCAGTCTTCCAAGTGCAAGGCAAATGCCCTACTGCTGTTCTATTGCTCTGGCCCAGCTAACTAATACTTTTTAAGAAGGAATATTGCCAGAGAGCACAGGTATTAATGTGCTTCCCTGCATACTGTCAGCAGCACCTATCTCTGAGCACAGCTGAGTGTGGTCCAAAAGCAAGCAAACAAACATTGCATTTTTTAAAAAGAATAAATAAGTTATACAGTGATCAATCCCACCTTTGATTCTCTAAGTATCTGGGTAAGAATAAGGCTGTGAGAATTGGTGTAGATGTCAGGTATTTCCACCCCCAATTCTTGTACACCTTGTAACAGAGTGGTTTTACATGACTGCTATGAAATAAAAAACGTAAGTAATGCTAGTCGACAGTATTTGATTATAAGAAATCAATAAGATAACTCTGTGTGTGTGTGTGTGTGTATATGTGTGTGTGTAATTAAATCAAAGGTGGTGAGCTGAAAATGGACAGCCTGGTACTAGCTGTTGTGACCTTGGGCAAGTTATGTAATTTCCTTTTTCTCTAGTCAGTGCCAAAAACTCAATAAATCTTAATCTTAATAAAAATCTTAGGGTAATCATGAGAATTGACTACATGCTGCAGTCCCTTCCATACAAATGACAGATGGAAGTTGGTTTCCCTCTACTATCTAATAATAATAAGCCTTCTCTGCAACACTAAATGAAACGCTGCGTCATAACCTCGTGCTCAGCAGGTGTCTGAGCATCATTCTCCACTAGGAAACGCGCGCGCCTTGGAGCCTAAACCAAAAATCAGTGCATCCGCGGGGGGCAAGCGCGCTGCGGGGCCTGAGCAGAATCGCCAGGTGCTCTGCACGCAGAGCTGCCCAGCGCCGAGCCCACTCTCCCTTCCCCAGCAAGAATAAAATAAAATACAAAGTCTGCACAGACCGCCCACTGAGAACATGGCCCATTTACTCTTCTCTGCCGCGGAGGCCGCAAGCAGGGAAGAGCCTCGCGCGCCCGGCTTCCCGACCCACGCCGCGGGTGCGACCGCGCAGGAAGATTGTCCCTTTACCGCCGCCGTAGTCGGCACGGCCCGCAGCGCATCCCATTGGCCAGGCGCGCTGGGCGCCAAGACGCGAGGCTGGCGCTACCGTCGGACGGAGCTGCAGCGGCGGAGGCGTCTGGTCGGAGTCGGTGGCTGGGCGGGTCACAGGCGGCTGACTCGGCCGCGGAGCGGGAGCGCGCTCGCCATGTTCTGCGAAAAAGCCATAGAGCTGGTCCGCGAGCTACACCGCGCGCCCGAAGGCCAGCTGCCCGCTTTCAACGTGAGTGGGGCGCGGGCTGCAAGAGTGGGGCGGGGCCTGCGGGGCGGGGCCTGCGGGGCGGGGCGGGGCCTGGGTGTGCCGCGGGCGGGGCTTAGGGGCATGCTGGGGGCGGGCTCTGGGCGGGGCCTAGGAGCGTGCTGGGGGCGGGGCCTAGGAGCATGCTGGGGCGGGCTGATTTCTAGGACTTCCTCCCCGCCCCCCTCGGACTTTTTCTGTCCCTAGAGGGTTTACTTTTACCTGCTGGTAGCTCCAAAGTAGGCAACAGGTTTTGATAAAGTGAAAGAGAGGGGTAGTGGGCCGGGCAAAGTATTCGTGCTTAGATCACCCAGGAAATTCTGAATATTCACATATATTTACATGCTTTTAATTTGCTTGTTTGTTTTGTTTCTGGGCCACACCTGGCAAAGCTCAGGGTATCCTCCTGGTTCATCACCCTGGAATCACTCGTGGCGGTGCTCAGCGGACCTTATGGGATGCTGGGGATTGAACCCCGCATTGGGTGTGTTCAAATGCTCTATCCGCTGAACTATATCCCTCTGGCCCCACATTAATCTTTTAAGATAAAATTTTGTTCCTTTGTTTAACAAATTTGATTTTTAATTGAATCACCGTGAGTTGATTGCCTGGTGCGAACCTAAAATTTGTTGCATGCTCTGATAAGAACTAGGCCCCTGGAGCAACGCTGAGGTTTTGATTCTCTCTGGGACTCTGATAATTATTCAAAGCTTTCTGCACTCTTGAATTTTCTCCAAAATGAGACTGATGATTAGAAAGAGCACGAATCTTGGTGTAGTGAGGACTCAGTGAGGGTTTTAGATTTTTGTTTTCAATTTAATTTTTGGCACCTGGATTTATAATATTAATAAAGACATGGTTTTATGCATAAAGCATTCCAGCACCATGTTCTCCAGTGTCAGTTCCCACCACCATTGTCCCAGTGTTCTCCCATGGAGGCCATCGCAGGGATACTTGGACCAGGTGATGCCAGGAATGGAAACCTTGTGGTGCTAGACAGACCCTTCGGCTCCTTCACTGTCTCCCCATCCCAGGACTTTCACCTGGTACCTGTTAGGGAAACAGATGGCTAGTGAATGGGATGGAAGAATATAGGGGTCCCGTGAGATTTCTTTCTCAGGTTGTAAGGAGCAATATTGGATGGAAGGTGAAAGAGTATTTGGAAGAAGTTTAGTTCTGTTTTGAACATTAGAAAGGACATGTGGCCGAAGAGATTGGACAGCAGGTTGGGTGCTTGCCATAGCTGACCAGATTCAGTCCCTTAGCAATTGGGAAGAGCCCCGTGTATGTGAACAGCCAGCAGCGAACCCTGAGTGCAGAGCAAGGCATAAGCCGTGAACTCCGCTGGGTGTGCTCCCCAGTCAAGCAAACATAAAAGCAGTTGCTCTAACAATTAGTTCATTTTACAGATGTAACTAAGGTAAGATAAATAGGGATCATGTTGCTTTTATTATTTTTTTATTATTATTAGTCAAACACCATGAGATACAGTTGTAGACTTATAAACTTTCGTGCTTGGGTTTCAGTTACACAATGATCGAGTACCCATCCCTCCACCAGTGCCCATTCTCCACCACCAATGATCCCAGTAGCCCTCCTACCCCCTAACCCTATCCCCCCACCCTGCCCCAACTTTGTGGCAGGGCATTTCCTTTTGCTCTCTTTCCTTTGGGGTGTTGTGGTTTGCAATAGAGGTATTGAGTGGCCATCGTGTTCTGTCTATAGTCTATTTTCAGCAGATGAGTGCAGCCTTTCTATGTCTGTCCCTCTCTTTCTGGCTCATTTCACTTAGCATGATACTTTCCATGAAGAACCACTTGTATATAAATTTCATGACTTCATCTTTTCTAACAGCTGCATAGTATTCCATTGTGTAGATGTACCAAAGTTTCTTTAACCGGTCATCTGTTCTTGGGCACTCGGGTTTTTTCCAGTGCTTTTAATTTTTTAATTATCATTTAGGTAATGTGGTTATAATAGTGTTCAAGTTTATCTATAATTTTTTTGATGTATAAAGTTACTGTACCCCAGCACCATCAAATTGCCCATGACCCACAATTAGGAATCAAATTAGTGATTTTTTTTTCTGTACAGTGCCAGGAATTCAACTCAGGTCTCATGCATGCAAGGCATTACTTTGCCACTGAGCCAAATCCCTCTCTCAAGTTAGTGAATTTTTCTGAAAGTTCAGTGTATTGGCCACAGAACCCCACTTGAATATAGGCCTCCTTGACTCCGGTCTACCCATTTAACTTCAGAACAGTTACATCCCTTACACAGCAGGGAAACCGCTGTGGAGAGTCTACAATAGATGTGCTGGAATGCATGGGTATATAATTGGACTCCACAATGGGCAGAGCTTGTTACGTTGGAGGAAATCAACCCAAAGTGGACAAGGGCTTGCCCCAACAGGTGCTTGCCAGGTTGCTTTGGATCTTCCTCTCTGGACTGTTAGTTTAGCTCTCATTTTCTTTCTTTCTTTCTTTCTCTTTCTTTCTTTCTTTCTTTCTTTCTTTCTCTTCCTTCCTTCCTTCCTTCCTTCCTTCCTTCCTTCCTTCCTTCCTTCCTTCCTTCGTCATTGAATCACCGTGAGTTACAGGCTTTCATGTTTGAGTTTCAGTCATATGATGATCAAACACCCATCCCTCCACCAGTGCACATTCCCCACCACCAATCTCCCCAGTATACCCTCTCTTCCTACCCTCCCCCTCCTCCCTGGCAGACAGTTTCCCCATGCTCTCTCTCTACTTTTGGGCATGATGGTTTATAATACAGATACTGAGAGGCCATCATATTTGTTCCTTTATCTACTTTCAGCACACATCTTGCGTCCTAAATGATCCCTCCAACCATCAATGATTTAGTGATCTCTTCCCTCTGTTTTTTTTTTTTTAATTTTTATTAGTGAGACATCATGAGGTACAGTTGTAGACTTAGAAATTTTTGTGCTTGGGTTTCAACTATACAGTGATCGAATATCCATCCCTCCACCAGTGCTTTTTTTTTTTTTTTAATGTAGGAGTACTGTTATTTATTCAGCTACTGATTAGCTGATTGAACTGGGCATGAACTCCACCTTACTTTTTTTTTTCATTTTTTATTATTTTATTTATTGAATCACTGTGAGAGCAGTTACAAAGCTTTCCGGTTTAAGTCTCGGTCATACAATGAAACACCCGTACCTTGACCAGTGCCCATTCTCCACCACCAAAAATCCCAATATACCCCCATCCCCCACCCTCCCCCTACCTGTGGGGCAGATGATTTCCACATTACTCTCTCTCTACTTTGATTGCATTCAATATTTTGACACCAGACCCACCATTATTATTTGGGATTTTACCCCAATACTCAGGTCTGCCAAAAAGGCAACAGTAGACAATTTGTTTTCTATTGATGATTATGAATAACATATGATGTCGTGCAGATGCAGTAGTGGCCACGCGATTTTGAAATTCTGAAATTTTAACAATTAAATCTGGAGGGATTTCTGCCAAAACCTGCTGGGTTCCAAGATTTGTTCCTGAGTCTCTGGGATCATGGTCGTTAGGCAGCTTGATCAGGAGCCAGAGAGGCTGTTCATGGGCAGTGACTTGGGGTCTTGTTGGGACTGGGAGGAAAGGGTCGGCTCCACCCTCATCCCATGAGACCCCACGTGTCTCGTCACTGTGGGCCCAAACCTGACTGTCCAGTGGCCTCTGGAGGATGATGGCCACCGGGCCGCCAGAGGGAACAGGCAAAGGCACAAACCCTATTCACTCCTGGGGTGGCCTGGCGCCGGTAACATACTGCAGGTACTGGACGCATTTCTGCCAAAAGCTGTTGGGTTTCGAGATTTGTTTCTGAGTCTCTGGGATCATGGCCATTAAGCAGTTCGATCTGGAACCAGAGAGGCCATGCCTCCAATTATATAGCTGAGCCGGAGGTGGTTTGTGGGTGTATTTTTCCCACATATCTAACTTTTGGCCGTTTACTTTCTTGGTAAACTTAAATAAGTGTCAATTGAAAAGCTTATGGGTATTTCAGCAAATTATTTCTCACTTGTCTTTCATATGCCTACAGGGCAATTATTGTGCAAGTTCAATTATTCCTTACAATAATACTAGTTGGGCTAGAGAGTTAGCTTCGATGACTGATTTTCATGAGGGAGGCCTGGACTCAACCCCATGAGCACTACCAGGACCAGCTCTGGAGCACAAAATATTTGCTGGTAAAAGTAATACTTAAAGAAAACTATTCAAGGGCTAGAGTGATGGTACTGCAGGTAGGTGCTTGCCTTGTATGCAGCTGACCCAGGTTGAATCCCTGACACAACCCTCAGGCAGTTTACCACACCCCCACCAGGAGTGCTCTCTGAGCACAGAACTAGGAGTAAGCCCTGAGCACCTTTGGTGTGGCCCCCAAACCAAAAAAAAAAAGAATCATTTTTTTCTATGGTTTCCTTTTAACAAATGAAAGGAAAGGTAGAAGTCGTTTTCATTTTTTATCAGGAAGGATCACTTTTCAAGCAGGGTTAAGTAAGCTGATTTTGTACACCAGTAGTGACAAAAACATTTTTGCTAATGTGTGTATTTTGGCTTATAAAATAGATAGAAAAAGTAAATGGGTCATATCTTTGGATTTTTCACAGTAGTCTATTGTGTCACATTTTGGAATTTCAGAATTTTGTTTTCATCTCACCAAGAGACAATTCAAAGAAATTTGCTCCAAGGTGAATAGTTGAAAAACTTTCATGGACTCTCCTGTTCTGACAGTACAACTCAAAATATTGTTGTTTTCTTTCTCACTGCTGAGATTGAACCCAGGTACAAGCAAATACTTTGCTGCCGTCACCCTCTTTTCTTCTTTCATTTTTGGTAACTGTTTAAATTATTTTCAGCAAATTACAGAATGTAGTTGTGCCTTATTGCTTGTATAGAACTAGTGATTTTATTGTTGCCAATTTTATTGAGGTATCATGCATATCTAGCAAAATGTACATTTTA